ATTATTTTCAATGAAAAACAAAGCTGGGAATTTATACAACTGTATACTTACAAATCAAACAATCTCACACTTAAAGCATGAAGTCTTGACAGAAATTGACTTCTGGTTATCTCTAAGGGATAGACTGGAAGAAGTAGAAATAAGACTATCCTTAGAGATAAAAGGTAAGTGAAGAACATCTAGTTTACAACACACCTAGCTGACAATATTCCAAGCTTGGCATTCTTGTGTTCCATGCCTGAGGCCAAATTGCCTTTTTTGTTGTTCAGAGACATAACACCATTCTAACACCTCCAATTTATAATCTTAATTATATTTTTTCACTGATTTACGGGTTACAAAATTTCCTTTAGCATGACTGCTGGCAACTTCACTTAATATATGTAATTCCTTTGTTTATGAAACAATTCTTTATTTAAGTCCATAAAAAATAGGGAGTTTTCTAAGGAAAGGCAGATGCTCAGCTAATCACCCCTTGCCAATCTCCACGATGTATATTTTATTTAATCATTTAAAGATATAGATTGGGAAGGCATTAAGATGCATTGATATTACCCTTGGCTTGGATCCATGATAGTAAACTGAATGGAAGTAAAACCTGTTTTTTTTTTTTTACAGTTAACTTTCCATGAAGCCTCAACACATTGTGCTAATATTAATCATTTATGAAAATTTCTACATATATAAATATCAAAATAAATAAAACTGTGCTAATACCGTAATAAAATCATCAAGTCTCAGAACTCTAGATGGGATCTTGGCTTGGTGGTTCCCAGACTTTTATTTTTTTAAATTAATTATTATTATTATTATTTTCATTTATGAGGTCTGCAACAAGCAGAGGTTTCCAGACTTTTGAGATTCATGGAGCAGTTAAAAAAAAAAAAGTTGGGGCATAGGGCTGCGAACTTTTTATTTTGCCAAGTAAAGATACTTAAAGCAGTGAATACCACTATCAGCATCTCATAAAAGGATACTTCAATACCACAAAAGTTGGATAATCTTATTATAAAAATTAAATTTGAGTTGACAACCTACTAGCATTTTTTTTTCCTTGTGGATGGCTGAAAATTTAGTTTTGGCCTAAGGTTTGGGAACAATTGCCTAAAATGCCATTTAGTTCAATCACTTCAATTTAAAAGGCTTAGACGTGAGTAGCTTCATCTGAGGTCTGCTAGTATTAAAGTCAGGGAGACAAAACATAGCTTCTGACAACTAATAGGATAATACAACCTCACAGATACCCCAACACTAAACACTGTATGTTGCTAATTAGGAGCCTTAGTTAATTAATGTTTATCTTTAGCAAAACCAAATTTAAAAAATCTCCATTGGCAGGGCGCGGTGGCTCACACCTGTAATCCTAGCACTCTGGGAGGCCGACGCGGGAGGATCGCTTGAGCTCAGGAGTTCGAGATCAGCCTGAGCAAGAGTGAGACCCCCGTCTCTACTAAAAATAGAAAGAAATTAGCCAAACAACTAAAAATAGAAAAAATCAGCTGGGCATGGTGGCGCGTGCCTGTCGTCCCAGCTACCCAGAAGGTTGAGGCAGGAGGATCGCTTGAGCCCAGGAGTTTGAGGTTGCTATGAGCTAGGCTGACACCAAGTCACTCTAACCCAGAAAAGAGAGCGAGACTCTGTCTCAAAACGAAACTTCATAACTAATGAAAAATCACATAATTTCATCTACTTTTTAATAGAAATACTTGGTATATATGGTTGTAGCTGTTATAATTTGTCAAGGAAAATAACCCCAAATCATAAATTACCATATTAATGTAAGCTGTGCCATAGTGTGAGCTTCTAATTCTCTGAAATGTTTCATTCTCAATGATATGGTCTATGGATGCCTAATAATGTCTGCTGTATGAACAGATGAATGTCACTCTAAATCACTGCAAAATAAAATTCTTCACATTAGAAACTTTTCAACCTAGCACAAGATCTTACTTCAAAGATCAATGAACATAAATGATATAGAGAAAAACAGATTGGAGCCCCACTTGCCTGATAGCTTAACCAATAAAAAGGCAATTCGAAGATTTGAAGTGCTTAACTAGAACAGTAGTTACACACAATGATTTCTGTATGAAAACATCTCACATTAACCTAACCCACTTTTTTAGGTTAAATAATACGAAAATGTTTTCATATCATCAAGGAATTCTAGTTCAAAAGGAAGTAATGAAATTTTAACATGACACTGAAAATACACTTACCTAAATATTTTTGATCCTCAAAATGTTCATGGAGATCTATACTTCATAGTAAGGTGATCATCTACAATTTTGCCACATTCACACTCATATAATCCTAAAGTTTTGAGAATTGGCACTAGTTCCCCTCCCCATTAAAAAAAGCATGACTAACAATATTTCAAAATCAAAATAACACAGTTGAGTCTATTAAGTTAAAAAGATGTCCCTTTATCAGAAACTTTTGGGGTTTATTAACTTTTCTTTAAAAAGTATGCTTTCTTTTGCTGGCCCACTCATAGTTTTTTTTTTTATTTTTATTTTTTTTTGAGACAGAGTCTCACTTTGTCGCCCAGGCTAGAGTGAGTGCCGTGGTGTCAGCCTAGCTCACAGCAACTTCAAACTCCTGGGCTCAAGCAATCCTCCTGCCTCAGCCTCCCAAGTAGCTGGGACTACAGGCATGTGCCACCACGCCCGGCTAATTTTTTCTATGTATGTATTAGTTGGCCAATTAATTTCTTTCTATTTATAGTAGAGACGGGGTCTCACTTTTGCTCAGGGTGGTTTTGAACTCCTGACCTGGAGCAATCCGCCCGCCTCGGCCTCCCAGAGTGTTATGATTACAGGTGTGAGCCACCGCCCGGCCGCACTCATAGTTATCATAGTTATTTAAAGTGGGATAGGCAAGGAAAAAATTCACCCTAAAAATCTGACAGAATCAGTGTTTACAGGACTTTCTTTAATTAATTTATTTTTTGAGACAGAGTCTCACTCTGTCACCTGGGCTGGAGTGCCCAGTGGCATTAGCCTAGCTCACAGAAACCTCAAACTCCTGGGCTCAAGTGATTCTCCTGCCTTAGCCTCCCAAGTAGCTGGGATTACAGGAACCTGCCACCACACCCAGTTACTTTCTATTTTTAGTAGAGATGGGTTCTCAATCTTGCCCAGGCTGGTCTGAAACTCCTGACCTAAAGTGATCCTCCTGCCATGGCCTCCCAGAGTGCTAGGATTAGAGGTTTGAGCCACTGCACCTGGCCTGGATTTTAGATTTTATACTGAAGGTATGTCTTGAAGACATGTGGAAAACAGTCACATGGGTTTCCTTAAATGTAAAACTAGTGTATACAATTTTGGTATCCATTTTTATCTACTGTGACATAAAAAATTGTACATTTAAAAAATATAGGAATGTTGCTGCCAGGTTTGATTCCTGTTAAGGTAACTCGATTTTAGCAAGTAGAAACTTGTGATTATTACCGAGAATTCAAGTGTACTAAAATAAATAATGAGAATGTTTATCAAATTATGTTTGCCCATATTATATACATATTTTGTCAAGACTTTTCCTTCTAACCTGTAAAATCCAAAAGTGAAATGTCTCTCTAGAAATATTTTATTCCTGTCTTCTCCTATTGCTAATTATTTTCAGTTCCCATATTTCCTTTTTTCTGAATTAGTAATGAATGTAATGTTTCTGGTCTGAGTCTTTGAAGAATATTACATAAACAAACACTTGTCTTCAAATTTTTGCTTTTAAGAAAATGATCATACAATTTAAAAGCCATGCACTTCATTAGCCAGAGTGGGGAAGAAGAAATCTTCCCACGCCTTTGATCTAACCTTGTGACCACTATTTCTGTCATGGATATGTGGCTTTGTGATCAAAAGACTTGAAATTATGTGCTCCAATTCCTTCAAAGTCCTCAGTTCAAGTGCTTGACACTCCTTGGGCTAGAATTCTGTAATAATACATTTTAAGATACTGTTCGTGACTATTTTTTTTTTTTTTGAGACAGTGTCGCTTTGTTGCCCAGGCTAGAGTGAGTGCCGTGGCGTCAACCTAGCCACAGTCTGAAGCAACTTCAGACTCCTGGGCTTAAGCAATCCGTCTGCCTCAGCCTCCGGAGTAGCTGGACTACGGGTATGCACCACCATGCCCCGCTAATTTTTTCTATATATATTAGTTGGCCAATTAACTTCTATTTATAGTAGAGACGGGGTCTCACTTTTGCTCAGGCTGGTTTCTAACTCCTGACCTCGAGCAATCCGCCTGCCTCGGCCTTCCAGAGTGCTGGGATGACAGGCGTGAGCCACTGCACCCAGCCTGTTCACGACTATTTTAAGTCTAATATCACTTTGATCTAAATCTCCACATTGGTTCCATTTAATGGATTAATTAAATATCCATGAAGATGAATACAAAGAAATTATCACCCCTTTATTACTGACCTGGCTGACTTATGATTACTTATAATTAAGCAGAATATTCATAGTTCATTTTTTTTTTTTTTTTTTAGGCTAGAGTGAGTGCCGTGGCGTCAACCTAGCCACAGTCTGAAGCAACTTCAGACTCCTGGGCTTAAGCAATCCGTCTGCCTCAGCCTCCGGAGTAGCTGGACTACGGGTATGCACCACCATGCCCCGCTAATTTTTTCTATATATATTAGTTGGCCAATTAACTTCTATTTATAGTAGAGACGGGGTCTCGGTCTTGCTCAGGCTGGTTTTGAACTCCTGACCTGGAGCAATCCGCCCGCCTCGGCCTCCCAAGAGCTAGGATTACAGGCGTGAGCCACAGCGCCCGGCCCATAGTTCATTTTTTGATTGAAAACTGTGAAAACACAGAAATCATATTTTCTCAGTGTTGTTACAAATCTCATGAAGAAAACCAAGGTCATTAACAGTTTTTCTAGATTGCATTAAGAAATTAATGTAGCTTAATCACACCCATTTACTTTCTAGGTTAACGAGTATGAAAAGGTGATAATTTTTCTTTGGAACTTACAAGTACAATCTGCAAATACATGATTTTCAGAATAATTTAATATGTTGACTTCAAGATACAACTATATTCTAATGTCAATATTTTAAGAAACGGATCCTTACAAGACCAAAATAACCCACAGGCCATGAGGTTGGTTTTTACTTTTTCCTTCTTTTTTTTTTGTTTAAACAAATGTGCACCACAATGTTTCAACAAGTAAGGCAAATGCCATGAATATGAAAGCTCTAGTTTGCAATATACCACATCTAGAACCCGGGGGAGGTGAATTAGACAGAAGTGGTAGTCATTCTAATTAAACAATCAGGTAACATCATGACAAGTTGGTTTGCAGCATCAAAACTGTCCATTTAAGTTTCTTTTTTCTTGATGATCAGAGGTCCCACGTTGTCTCCGGTCTCTTCGTTGTGTTTTGTGTGAGCCCCATCACAGAATGGGAACTAGGAAGAGAAAGAGAGAATGTAAAATATCTAATCTCCAAATCCGTATTATGCTTAGCAGAATGGAATGTGATGCTTAATTCATATAAAAAAGATTTTTCTCAGCTACCTTATATAGGTTTTCTTAAGAGCATATGTAAAGTAATATAGACTGAATAGGAGGAAGAAATCGACCCATGGATAATACAAAGATCATTAATTGAATTTCAGTGTAATATTTGATTATGAATATTAAAAACTTTTGTACTAGTACATTTTTTTAAGGCAAGCAGGAAAATGAGGTTTATGGAGGAGAGAAAGATAGGATTATAGGTCAAGAGCAAGATATAGGTTTACAGAGCATGATACATACGTCACAGATGACTGGACCCACTGTCACAGCAAAGGCAGAGCAAAAGGAAGGGCCTAGTACATTCTTTTCTAGTGAACTATGTCCATTGCCTATTTATAAGAGTTTAAGCTCACTCACTGAAAATCTTTATATTATTCTGATGTTGATCACCTTTTTGTAGCAATCTTTTCCCCAAAGCTTTTCATTTTGTTTATTTTTGGTACCTTTAATTTCTCCACTTTCATATGTCAATGTCAAGTATAGCAATATTTCCCTTTTTAATATCAGTCACGGAAACATCTTTCTTTTAGAGATGTGAAAAATATAAATTTCCATTCCTTTTCATGACTTCACATTTTAGATACAAGTGACATTTTGGTGTCTAGTGGAAGGGAAAGGGATAAAACCAAATTTCTAAGTTTCAGAGTGTGCTCCAAAGCTGAACTCTGCAAGATACTCTGATTTGGTTCTGTTCTGTGTTTAAAACACATCGCATAGGGCTTCTTTTTAAAAAGAGGTCAGGGTCTTGCTCTGTTGTCCAGGCTACAGTGCAGTGGCACAATCTTAGCTCACTACAGCCTCAAACTCCTGGGCACAGCTGATTCTCCTGCCTCAGCCTCCTGAGTAGCTAGGATGACAGGTGTGTACTACCACATCCAGCTAATTTTTAAATTTTTTGTAGACATTTTGCCTAAGCTGGTTTCAAAGTCTCACAAGATCCTCCTGCCTCTCAGCCTCCCAAAGTGCTGGGATGACATATATGAGCCACCATGCACAGAAGCCCTCAAGTCACAACATACACCATGATGTTAGAGGTCCTGCTGTAAAAAAAATACCATTTTAACACAGAATTTCTCAAGCTGATTGAACTATGAACATTTTCCTCTGATATCCATTATCATAGTTTTCTGTAGAACATACTATGCTGTTCTAAGATCCTGTTGTTTCAGTATTAGAGGTTGTTGCCTCCCATATTATCATACCTTTATTCATAATATTATCTAAACAAATTGTACATATAAAAAGCACCTATTTATAGGTTCTATGTTATTATATTGATCAGCCTACTACACTGGGATGTGTCTAAAATGTTTCAGTATTTGGTAGGGCTAGTTTTCCTTCATTATTCTCTTCTTTGTTAACTTTATCACTTTATTCTTCCAGATAAGCTTGAGAATTTTTTTGGTCACGTTTTACATCTCTTATAGTTTTCATCCTCAGGTCTCATGCATATTCTGATAAGATTATTTCTGCTACATTTTTTATGGTTATTATAATTAGGTATTTTTATATCTGAATACTCTTGCTATCATTGGTTTTTGCAAGTATATCCTTTCCTATTGTTACATGATTAAAAAAATAAGAATTCCATGTTTTAGATGACTCCTCAGACTGTTACAGTTAGAGGGTACAATTATCAGTAAGTTTGTTGTTTCTTTCTTTATTTCCATATTTTTTTTTTTTTGAGACAGAGTCTCGCTTTGTTGCCCAGGCTAGAGTGAGTGCCGTGGCGTCCTAGCTCACAGCAACCTCAAACTCCTGGGCTCGAGTGATCCTTCTGCCTCAGCCTCCCGAGTAGCTGGGACTACAGGCATGCGCCACCATGCCCGGCTAATTTTTTATATATATATCAGTTGGCCAATTAATTTCTTTCTATTTATAGTAGAGACGGGGTCTCGCTCTTGCTCAGGCTGGTTTTGAACTCCTGACCTTGAGCAATCCGCCCGCCTCGGCCTCCCAAGAGCTAGGATTACAGGCGTGAGCCACAGCGCCCGGCCTTTATTTCCATATTTATACCTTTTATTCCTATCTCATGTTAAAGGACAAGAGCTAGCTAGTGAGCATCTTTGTATTAATCGTGGTGTTCTCAATGTACCTGCATTTGAGAATCTAGAGTTTCACTGACTAGTATAAAGTACACATGTGCATTCAAGGAACCTATTTAAAAGAGTAAAGTAACAGGAGTCTTGGCCTTTAGAGTAACAATTCCCTTATTATTTAGAGTGAAGGGAGTATAATTTTAGATATGTAAAACCTCACAATGATGGTAAACTTTGATATCCAGAAGTTTGTATCCTAAGATTAATAATATTTGGTTGACGTTAAAGAAATCCAATTTTAATTTTACTGTCTGTAAATAATTATAAGAGGCACTAAATTAGTTAAAAGTTATATCAGCATATCTTGTATTTCGAGATATAAATTCCACCCCAGGGTAGATAGCAATATAAATGTAATGTATGTAATGCTTACATTATTTCTTTTTTTAGGTCAGTAAGATGTACACAGTATATTCATATTAAAAACAAGTCATTGAAGCAAAAGCATGAACCCAAGTTTTCAGCTTTTCTTGGCATGAATGAGGAAAGAGGCTATAAAAATCAAACTAAAATGTATCCTACAGTAAAGAGCAGCCTTTCAAAGTGACATATGTTTAATAAACAAACACAGATGATTTTACGGTGAGAATAAAGTTTATATGGTAAAAGACTCCATTTTTATAAATAGCACACACAAAATACTTCATTGTATAGTTTTATCCACAGGTTTAATGTACTTTTGAAAAATTAAACATTTCTAAATAAAAAGCCTCAAATAACTCACTGAAATGGCATGTTTAACTTTTATTTCTTTTTTAATCTCATGTTGAAAACATTAGAAAAAATCAACATTTTCTTAAATTATTTTCTTCCACATATAGAATCAAGAACAGGAGAAAACTCCATATAAAAATACACAAAGAAAACATTATAAGTTAATAAGAAAGTCATACACCTAAAATGAGAATGTATTTTTTCTAATACTCTGACTAAAAGCTGAAATTGGACTGTTTCTTCATGTTCTTAAAAGCAAACAAAAAACAAACATTTTTTTAAAAAAGCAATGAGTAGTAGATCCTGTTGTTAATAAACTTTCATGTGTTTAAAGTGTATAAAGCTTTTATGCCTTTAAACTAGGAAACAATTTTGTTCAGAGATGCTTCTTTTAATGGTACTTTTTATTTAATATACATCATTAAACTCTAAGAATTGTTGCCTTAAATCAGAATCATCTCCCAAACTTTGTGATTATATTTATTCATTAGTGATTTCTTAATTTTGAAATTTGTTAAACTGACAAAGCAGAAAGTAAAATTACAGGCCTGGCTCGGTGGCTCACACCTATAATCCTAGCACTCTGGGAGGCTGAGGCGGGCAGATCGCTCAAGGTCAGGAGTTCGAAACCAGCCTGAACAAGAGCAAGACCCCGTCTCTACTATAAATAGAAAGAAATTAATTGGCCAACTAATATATATAGAAAAACATTAGCCAGGCATGGTGGCGCATGCCTGAAGTCCCAGCTACTCGGGAGGCTGAGGCAGCAGGATTGCTTGAGCCCAGGAGTTTGAGGTTGCTGTGAGCTAGGCTGACGCCATGGCACTCACTCTAGCCTGGGCAACAAAGTGAGACTGTGTCTCAAAAAAAAAAAAAAAAAGTAAAATTACGAAAAACAAAAAGGGTACATTTAAATCAGCTAATGTAGTATCAATACTTAATTTGTTCTAAGATGTTTGTTTCTTAACAAATCATGGAGAAAGTTTGTAAATCAAATTGGCTGAATTTCCCTGTATGTGCAAAAAACACCTTTTTATGTTTGTTAACCCAATTTGAAAACTACAAATCCCAAGTATCTTTTAATTTTTTTTATTTTGGAAACATGGTTTTGCTCTGTCACGTGGGTCGGAGTGCTGTGGTGTCATAATAGCCCACTGCAACCTCAAACACCTGGGCTCAAGCAATCCTGCTTCAGCCTCCTGAGTAGCAGGCACTATAGGCGTGCACCACCGTGCCGGGCTAATTCTTTTTATCATTTTGTAGAGACGGGGTCTCCTTATGTTGCTCAGGCTGGCCTCGAATTCCTGGGAATTACAGGCATGAGGCACTGCACCCGGCCCCAAACATCTTTAAAAGTAGGGAAGAAAGAGTGGGACAGTGGGAAGAAGAGGCTGGAATAAAGGTTTAGGAAAGAAAACACTAGAGATTCCTGCTCTCCACCTGGAAAGCTAGCAATACTATCAGGGTCTTCATAAAAAACACAAGGTTTGTTTCTTTTCTGGCTGCACATCTCAAGTTATGTCTCTGTCTCGAGGGCAATTCAAGATAAAAATAAATAAATGCTTTTCCCTGGCTTATTTATTTTAATTGAAACAAGTTTCTAAAAGACAATTATCTTCCTTCTCCAAATTTTTTACTTTTAATGAGAGTTTTGATTTTTGTTCCAAGAAAGTTGCCTGGAGCCATTGTGGCTTATTACCATAAACTGCCCTTGCTTTGGTTGAGAAAGAGAAAAGTAATGAGATCTTTGAGACTTCCCTAGAGAACAACATGACATTTTATACTATTCTTATATACTTACTTTAATAAAATGTGAGGTAGCAGATAAAATATAAAAATGCATAAAGCGAAATTAAGATCTTACAAGATTGCCTTTATGTGGCTTGGCCAAGGAATATAACCAACATTCAGAGTATATTGTTTGCATGAAGAAATAGGACTCAGTATAATATAATCCACTTCTATTTCTCTCTCAATAGCCCCCATCCCCCAAAACCAAGAAGCCAGCCACTACCAACAACAAAACAAAAAATTGCAACTCAAATCTTAAAACTGGGCCGGGCGCGGTGGCTCAT